GTACCAGAGGAATCGTAGGAAGAGCCAGGGCACTGAATTTGCTACAAAGCAGATACACGCGTTCCTCGGCCGCCTTCGTAGTAAGTTATTGGCATCATTTCCTTTTAAAGGAAACGTTCTGTGATCTCGAGTACCCAGAGCTACAAGCTCCTTAACGTCTAGTGAGAATGGAGTACGGATAACACCGAGAAGCAAGCATGCACTTACCAAATCAGACATTTCACGGATACACAAGCACCCTCACACAAGCAACAACACACGCGCGCACGCACACACACGGAGCGGCAGTTTACCCACGGGTGGCACAGGCAAACACTCACCGCATATTCAGCCACACAGTGCCTTGCTGTCATTTGACATTAACTCAGAAGGGAATTCAGAAGCCTGGAGAGAAAGAGGATAAAGGGTACGAGGTTAAGACAATGTTAAGTAGAAAGGGCTTTTTTGTTGTTGTTGAAGTAGTCCACAGACCAGCAAATTCCATTAAACACGTTTATGGTAACAATTCAGATTCAAAGACAGATGCATTCACACGTCAGAACTTACTAGCAATTTCACGCACGGCGCAGTCTACAGCAGCGTTTTAAGAAAATAAAGTTAAATCGCTCATGCGAAAGTCACCGTCTGGGCTACGGATCTCCTAGTGACAGCCCAGGCGACCGCGGGAGTGTGCGGCGGCGGGGCCGGGGCCCCGAGCAGGGCTTACCTGCAGGGACAGGATGCTGATGTCCGTGTTGAGGGTGGTCAGCGGCGTCCGGGACGCCTGGTTCTGCCCGGGTCTCTGGTGATGCAGGCTGACAATAGTGGGATGCGAGTCCAGGGCGATCTGCAGGTCCAAGATGTAGTCGATGACGTGCTGCAGGATTTCCATCTTGCTCACCTTCTTGTTCTGGGGGATGCTGGGCACCAGCTCCTTGAGCTTGGAGTAGCAGTCGTTCATGTTGTACAGCAGGCTCATTGGGTCGTCCACCGGGGTTTTGCTCCGGGAGATGCCCAGGCTGTGGTCTGACAGGCTGTTTTTCCTAACGGACCTCACGGGACTGAAGGCTTTCATGCTGACCGCAAGGGAAGGCGAGACCGGGAGGGAGCTGGCTGCCCTGAAGCTCAGGCCGTTGCCGCCGCCGCCTGCTGAGCTAGCTGCGCTTGGCACCGAGCTCGGCTCAGAATGAAGCCCGAGCCCCCGGCGGGGCGGCTTTTATCAGCACTCGCCGGGGCCACACGCTCGGGCTTCCCTTCCTCCCCATTGGCGGAAGGCGGCGTGTCCATCAAGCCGAGCGGGCGCTTCCATTGGCGGGCGCGGGCGCGGGGCGAGGGCTCGGTTCTTCCGCGTTAGCAGCCAATCCCCGTGGGGTGGGCGGGGCGCGAGCCCAGCTGGGGTGGTAAATAGAGTACAGTACAGAAAGCGCGGGGCGGGCGGGGAGCGGGGAGG